CGACCTTGCCCTTTCAGGTGAGTAGCAGCTACGACCTTGACTCTTCAGGCAGTCTACAGCTACGACTCCGGAACTGTCTAGACTTCTACCCTACAGGTCTACAGTTCGATTCCCTTCTATCCTGTGCCTTACGACAATCTACCTACCACTGGCGGTTCTACAGGTCGCAGGTTCAACTCTTCGAGTTGACGCAGGTATTATACACAGGTAAGTTGGGGAACTAGGGATCAAGCCCTGGGATCTGCCTCAGCTACCACGAATTGGTGAATACCGTTTCACCCTGAACATTGTATATGTATTGTTGAACCCTTTATAGAGGCACCGGCAAATGCTTAATGAGCAGCATTGATTGCCCTTCTGCGAGGGGATTGACTGCCCTCTCACCCTAGAACGATCACTCTATCCTGGTCAGCTACCATGGCAGTTCAAAAGATTTTCACTGTCATGAGGGGGGGGACAGATGTGGACAGAATCTGGCTCCACTATTTCAATTTCGATCTAGGGTTGCCTGCACCTATGTGTCCCCTGTAATCCTAATTAGCAAAAACCGTTCCAGCAGGGGAAACACTGTTACAAAAATTCAAATCGCAATACCCACATGGCAGAACACGAAACAGTCACGTAAACAACCCTAATGCTCCTCCTGCGCTGTCACGTGGCAGATACTTGTGCTTGTAAAAGAAGGAAAGTTCCCCCTGCAAACGTGATTAGTCGAAAAACGAGCTAAAGCGAGAGAACTGTGATGTAACAGAATGTCGAATTGGACTTGCCATATGGCAACACGTGAGACAGGGGCATGAAGAAGCCGTAATACCTCATTCCCTGTTGTAAAATCGGACTTGCCACACGGCAACACGTGAGACAGGGGCATGAAGAAGCCGTAATACCTCCTGCCCTGTCGCCACCAGCCACCCAAGCGAGAAGAGAGCCTCCTGCCCTATTGCCACGTGGCAGCCGTCAAATATGGTAAGACTATTTCGATGCCTATCCTATCCCCATGCGACCCCATCCCATTCCTTCCTCCCCCCCACACCCATCCATTATACTAAACAAACCTTTCGAGCAACCCTCTCGCCCTTCCCCCAGATTATGAACCCGAAACCAACAGAGAGAGCGGGGGGAGGGGGGGAGAAAGGAACCCCCAGTCACACTCACCTCCCGATTGTTGTTGTCGTTATTGTCGTCGAGGTTGTTGTTGTTGTTGTTGTTGTAGTTGTTGTTGTTGTTGTTGTTGTTGTTGTTGTTGTTGTTGCCAAGCACACCCGAAGTCACACTCCCTGCGTTTGTACCACTGTCGTGCATGGAATTGGTTACTGCTGTTGTTAGGGGCAGTGTAGCAGGAGTGTTCATTATGAGTGCATGCCCCATTGAGATAGCCGTTGAGGTTTTGAGAGGCTGTCTGGCAGATGTCATCGTCATAAGCACTGGCAGTAATATGAACAGTGTCCCTCCCGTTGAAATTGTTGTAGATGCCTCCATTGTTGATGCTAGTGTTGATGCTGTCATTGATGCTGATGATGATGCTGTCGATGACGCCATTTGCGAAGTATTTGCCGCCATTGATCTCGTCGGAATCGTCGTCTGTGTTGTTGGTGTAGTCACCGCTCTTTCTTTCAGCGCATCGTCATAGTCTATCCCCTGACTGTAGACCGTGTTACAATTGGTAATCAAGTCTTCAGCGCGCCGCCAGTCTACATAATCCTCGAGAGACGGGTCCTCCACGATTTGCCAAAGAAGAGTCTCCAGTTGATCGGCCTTGTCCTCCAACCATGCAGCCAGGGCGGATCCCCCCCAATCCACCACCAACCAGGCCCGTTCCACGGAGGACAAGACGTCGACTATCTGCTGCATGCGCCGTTGTGTGTCCCCCAGTTCGGACAGCCACCTCTCTGCCCGTCGCTGGAGTTCCTCAGGTAAGGCCGTCTCCTCCGGAATCGCCACGTGTAGTAGATGCTGCGCAACGACGCCTTCTTCACGCTGACCATGAGATCCCACCGTCTCACCTTCACCTTCACCTGCCCCGTCGGCCAAGCCCTGTTGATCCATCGCTGGCTAACCCCCTAGCAGCCTCGGGTGTTGACGTCAACGCGTTCGGTCCTCCTTGGTAACACCAAGGTGTTGGGTCTCGAGACCGCCGGACCTGCCGGCCGGTACGCTCCCCACGCACTCGTGCACACTGTTGTCCGTTTTGTGGCCAGGTACACGTTTTAGGGCCAGGGCCAGATTCAGGCCCAGAGGTTGGACCTCTAAAAACGTTTGGACCTTTTTTTTTTTTTTTTTTTCGGACAGATTTTGGACCGTTCGGACCTGGACCGACGTTCAGGCCCAATGCATTCGCACAGGCCCTGAATCGGACCAGGTACCGAACAGGCCCAGTCCTGGGCAAGGCCTGGACGTCCGGTAGGGACCCAGGCAGGACGTTTTAGGCCAAGGACTGAGCCAGTTTCGAAGCCTGCGATCTGGACCGTGGATCGGAGTTTCGATCTGCACGGTCCAGAACGGAGGCCGTGGACTCCCTGGGTCCGGCCCAGCACTACTTAAGCTGGGCCAGCGCCCAGTTCTAGACAGAAGGTACCAGGAGAAACCCAGCGTCACGCTGGTTCAGGATTCGGCCTGCTGCGCTAATTTTGCAGACTGCCTGCTACGCTATTTTGAGACCACTGGCTGCGCTGTTCTTCGGCAATGTGGCACAGCGCTGGAGGAGTCCAGCGCTGTGGAGGTTAGCGGAGTTCAGAGAGAGAGAGAGAGAGAGAGAGAAGAGAGAGACTTACCTGCACGACTTACCAGCGCCATAGCTGGGCTCCTGCCTGAGTACCTGCAATCAGCACCCAGGTAAGTGGGATTAGAAAGCGCCTAGCTTTCTTCTTCTTCTTCTTCTTCTTCTTCTTCTCCTACTCCGAATTCTTCTTCTTCTCCTTCTTCTTCATCAGAGTAGAGATAGAGGTAACTGCAGGCATTGTTGGGACACGGCATTCTGCCTTATCGGACACGACATTCAGATCAGACTTGTACTCTACATTGGGACTGAGCTATGTACGACATTCGGAGATCAGATTTGGGTTGGACTTGGTTACCTCCTGTGTCTTTCCCCCTTCCCTCTCGCATGTCTATGGGTCTCTCCCCATGTGTGTGAGCGGAAGGGCAATCTTTCTGATGTTTTGCCCTTCCGAAGTTTTATCTCTTTCATGTTTGTTGGTCCACGTGTCCTTTGATTACTAAATCTTCCGCTCCGCTGTTTCCCAGCCCATAATGCTAATGATACGAATGTATTGTTGTTGATTTCTCGTTGGTTCACTCTTTGCATTGTGCACATTGGCACCTTGTGAATGTTGCATCTATGCTGCTGGTTGTTGCCACTTTAATCATTGCTAGATCCTAGGCTCTCGGTGCATTTCACTTCCTGATATGCTACACTCTCTTTGGCTGCCCTCTTTCTTGAGCTCTGCTTCTCCTGAGTCCGGCTTGGTCTCTCTTTCTCTTCCTCTGCTCCCCCCAACCTCTGTCTCTTCTCATGATCCTGCCAGTGCGGTCGTGCTGATGCCTGTGTATGTGAAAATGCAGCACTTCCCGCCTGTCTTTATCCTCCTCTTCCCATTCCCATCCCCGTCCCTCAAGTCCGCCTCCCTTCTGCAGCGCATTCTGCCTCCCCCCTCTACTTGGGATCCTCACCTACTTTCTACCGTTGTTGGCCCTTCCTCCGTCAATCGCCCAGAGTGCAGCACCCTCGCCGTGGCCCTTCCTCCGTCGACTGCCCACAGCAGAGCACCCACGTCGTGTAAAGAGAGTGGTGGAGCGAGGCCAAAGATGCGGCGCCTAGCTTGGCCATGGTAGGATGTTTTCTCAATTGTTTTTTTTTCTGTTTTTTTTTTTCGGATGGCAGAATGTATCTTTTTTTTTTTTTTTTTTTTTTTCTTCGGAGGGGGGGGGGGAACTGGGTCCAGCATCCCAATTACAAAGCAGGAGCCAGTTATGGTCAGTCGTTAATGATGAGCAGCATTGATTGCCCTCTTGCGAGGGAATTGACTTCCCATCAAGATCCTAGGATGGGTGCAGTACGAAGTTGCCGACCCTATCCCACTAGGAATGAGGTTCTCTCCGCCCCTGCCACGTGGCGGAATTCTTTTCCATTTTTGGGGGTAGACTATGTGCAGCCTGCCTGAAAAAGCGGCCAGTTGCCCCCCCCTCTACTGCATCCCCTCGATTGTGAGAGGCAACTATGCTTGTAAAGGTCCCTTGTATAGGCTTAGGGGAGGTGATAGGTACGTAGTGAAAGGTGAAACTGAGAGATTTTCTTTTATTTTTATTCTTTTTTATGTGGCCTGATGGACCACGGATCAGATAGTAAACTGATCACAACAGATACTACACTTGACCTTAGCCAAAAGGCCGAGAATGGTATGAGAGCAGAATATAGGTTGCGTATTGACCCGCCATAACACAGACTGAGAACACTGCTGATTTCTGAAGTTCTGGCGATGAGATGGATGCCTTGCTGAGATTCCCGCATTCTGCTCAGTTTTCTAAGTCTGTGTGTGTGCATGCTTGTTGACCTGCGTGCCTGTCTGAGTGCTTGTCGGCATGAGTGTGTGTGTGACCCGCAAGGGTGCTTGCTTGTTTGGCAGGCCCGTAGGGCCGGTACTTACCTGTGGCCGTGGCATTGAGGGTTGCAGCAGGGGAAAACACTCAAGTTGCGGAGCTAGAGGTCCGCAGCACCTAGAGCAGCGGAAAAACACTCGAGTAGCAGGTAGGCCAGTACGGCACCCAGTAGCAGGAGATGTACGGCACTCGGTAGCAGGAGATGTGCCGGGTACTCGAGGCCGAGCAGAAGAAGACAAAGTTGGCATTTTTAGAGGGCCAGTTGCGGTAGGCTAGGTCTAGGCCGGTACCGGTCCATCCAGGCTGAGTCTAGAGCCTGAACGGGCAATATCAGAGTCTGCAATGATATTTTCCTCCGAAAGGGAGGAGGTACCAGTTGCTTGGGAGGTCGAGTGGCCTGGAAGTCACCACCTAGGAGGCAAGTAGGCCGCTATATCAAGAGGCCGAGGGAAGAGCCCGACCTCAGTCTTCAGTGTGCAAGTTTGGCGACACGCTGCTGGAGCACTGGCTGGAGTAGCGTTGGGTACTACAGCACTGCTGGGAAGAAGAAGCCGGTGTCAGGACAGGTGGGTCCCGAGACAAGTCCTGACCCCTGAGAGATGGTGTATGGCAAAATTGTGCACAATAGAGAAAACCAGAGGCAAGAGAGATAGGAAGGATGAAACGCTAAGGCATAAGTGTCGCCGCCTAGGGGCCTAGAGAATGCCCTCGGCTGCCGGAACCAGCGAACCAAGAAGAAATTAGTAGGATAGTAAGCGGCAAAGGGCCACAAAAGAATAATTAAGGCTGCCCTTCTCCCCAAAAGAAGAAGGACCGACGGGAAAAATAATGTCATGGGTTGTGCGCCGCGGGAAGAAAGGAGTCAAGGAGGTCAAAAAAATAGCATTGGGGCACCGGCACGTTGTCAGGCGACCACAAGTAGTGCGCCGCCTGAAAACGGCAGTTTAGGGGTTTAGGCTCAGGGTTAAGTCCGCGTTTTGACAGTGCTTTGGGATGACCGGGCTGCAGGAATTATGAGAACTCAGGGTACCCCTGATTCTGGACGCACTACATTTTAAGAGTAACCCCCAAAGACAGCAAGATGGATGGGTGCACTGAGCACAACTAGAGAC